GGCATTGCCACTAGGCTTCCTGGATCACAATACCAGTTTTATATTTATATAGCCTTGTGACCTTGGACAGGTTAATTACTTTAAGTATCAGTTTCCTCATCTATAAAATGATGATAAGTAACATAGGGCTGCTTTAAGATTTAACTAGATAACATATTGAACCTTCCTAGCAAATAGTAGATTGATAAATTGTTATAGAAGTAGTTCGACTAGGAATAGTAGTAATAATAATGGTAACAAGAGTAGTTTTGGGCCCTAGCAGGGAGAAAAATGTTCTCCTAAAAATAATGCCTAATAAAACCTCAAGTACTCAAGTATACATATCTCTGTTAATAATGTTGACCAGTAAACATCACTTAATGATATACTCATCTAGGAGTATATCATTAATAATCCATGGAGGATTATTTGGTATGTTTTATATTACAATAATGATGTCAAAGTATAGATGAGGTATAAGAGTACAGACCAATTTCATGTGTATAAGGTAAGTTATAAGTGCATGAAGTCCTCCAGAATCTAAAAATTCAAAATGGATCAAAGAATTAAATGTTAGACCAGAAACCATAAAAATCCTAGAAGAAAACATAGGTAGCAAAATCTCAGACATTGCTCACAGAAACTTTTTATCAGATATATCTCCCCAGGCAAGGGAAACAAAAGAAAAAAATAAATGAATGGGACTACATCAAACTTAAAAGTTTTTGCACAGCAAAGGAAAACATCAACAAAATAAAAAAACAACCCACAGAATGGGAAAACATACTCACAGATATATCTGATAAGGGTTTAATATGCAAAATTTATAAAGAACTTAAAAACTCAACACCAAAAAAACAACCAACTCAATTAAAAAATGGGTAAAGGACCTGAATAGGCACTTTTCCAAGGAGGACATACACATGGCCAACAGACATATGAAAAGATGTTCAACACCATTAATTATCAGTGAAATGCAAATTAAAACCACAATAAGATATCATCTCACACATGTCAGAATGGCCGTAATAAACAGATCAACAAACAACAAGTGCTGGCGAGGCTGTGAAGAAAGGGGAACCCTTTTGCACTGTTGGTGGGAATGCAGACTGGGGCAGCCACTGTGTAAAGCAGTATGGAGATACCTCAAAAAATTAAACATGGATCTGCCTTTCAACCCAGCGATCCCACTTCTGGGAATATATCTGAAAGAACCCAAAACACTAATTTGAAAGAATATAGGCACCCCTATGTTCATTGCAGCATTATTTATAATCCCTGAGATATGGAGGCAGCCCTCGTGTCCATCAGTAGATGAGTGAATAAAACAACTATGGGACATATATTGAATGGAATACTATTTAGCCATAAAAAAGAAGATTTTACCCTTTGTGACAGTATGGATGGACCTAGAGAACATTATGCTAAATGAAATAAGCTAGTCAGAGAAAGACAAATACCACATGATTTCATATGTGGACTCCAATGAACAAACTGAGCAAGGAAAATCAGGACAGACTCATATATGGAGAGCAGGATGACAGCTAGTCCGGGGTCGGGGGGAGTTAGGGGTGGAGGGATTGACCGAAAAGGAAAAAGGTGGGAATGGGGTCTAAGGGGACTAAATGGTAATGGAAAAAATACAATAAAGATAAAAAAAGGTCTTTTATTTTTAGGGAGCAAGAATATTGATGATTTAAAAAGAGGATTTGAATTCTGGCTCTGCCACTTAAAAGCTGCTTGATTGGCAAAATAATTACTTAATGTTTCTGTGCTTCAGTTTCCACATTTGTAAAACAGAGATAGTACTAGGATATCCATGATAGAAATGGAATGAAAAATGAAAGAGGTAATAATTGAGATGTGTTTAGTACAATAACTCCAAAGCAAGCAATTCTAAAGCTGTTATCCAATATTATTCAAAAGAGTGAACTTTGCTCCCTAGGACAAAAGGCAAAGACATTTCCAGGCAATTAAAAGGTCTTTGATCTGAAACCAATTGAGGTCTTGTTCTCATTTTTGGAAGTGATTCTCATCATATTCTATATATTTCACACCTAAAGTTCAGTCCCATAATCCAGAGAGACAAAGAGCCTTGGAAGTAAATCCAAGTATTAGCAAATCTGATTTAAAATGGTCCTATTTTTTCTCAGAAAAAAAGTAAAATCATCCTAAAGCATCACTAAATAAGAAAAGTAAAAGCAACCAAATGACCAAAAGATGTCAATGAGGCAATTAAGAAATCAGAGCTATTCTGAAATTAAGACAATGACAGGTTGAAGCAAAGGCTCCTCATTGTCCCAGTATCATTCTGCCACTCTCCCCAAATCATTCAACATTTACTTGTTAGGTGGCCATCCAGAAAAAAGACTACATTTTAGCCTTCCTTGCACCTAAGTGTGGCCACCTGGCTACGTTGTGGCCAGAGGGGTTGAGATATCATATGGCAGCTGATGGGGAGCATGTTGAAGAGAATGTGAGCACAGGCTTTTGCCTCCATCTCCCTCATCTCTCTCTCTCTGCCCTCTGACTGGAATGAGGATGCAAGCTGGGTCACGGGTATCAAGGCAGAGCCAGGGCCATTGTGTGAGGTTGTGCTGATGCTCCATGTACAACACACCAGGGGGAGAGGCACTAAAAGCTGGGCACAGCCCGGCTCCCAAAGAACAGGAAGAACACAGTAACAGCCCCGGAGAAATGACACTAGATTTGGTTTGTGAGAGAATAAAACTTCCATTTAATTAAACTGCTCTTCACAAAGGTTTTATGTTATATGCAGTAAACCGAATTCAACGTATACAACTAGAAATGTCCAGTCATCTCTTCCCGCATTTTTACTGATATGTAGCAATAAATGTAGAATGAAAGCAGCTCCAGGAACATGATCATCGTGTACATTTCTTTCCTAAATGTGTATGGACTCAGGAGGAAGCCTGACTAACCAAAGTGCAGTTATGATTAGAATGGTAGGTTATAGGTGTTTCTTTTCTTTGGCTGGGGGAGTGGGGGAGGGGCAGTATGAAATACAGTGGCCATAAAAGGAATGAATAAAACACAAAGATATTCTCCTTTTCCTTTTTACTTTCTGAAAGTTGTTAATGAGCATACTATATTTGCATAACAACCAAAAAAAGTCAACTTAAATGCACAAATAAAGATGCAAAGTTAAAAGGAAAATTTGTCCAAAACATCACTTTTAGAATCAATATATTTGCCTTTGGAAAATACAATCTATTTCTTAGGCACCTTCTGCCTAACCCTACAAGGAGGCACATTCCTGCTTCTACTTCCAAGGCTCCAGGAGTGTTTTTGTCCTGCCTAACCTCCACCTCGCATCTCAAACGGTCTGCACCAGGCCTGGGCCTGAGGGACCTCTTCACATAGTCTTTCCTATGTAATATTTCTTTTTGTGGAAGTGGAAGATCGTTCCCTAAATCCCAACAGCATTTCTTGCAATGTGTAATATATCTTCTTACATTACATTACTTCTAATAGTAAACATCTCATATCTCCAAGAATATTATAAAGTTCTCTGGAACGGATAGTTCTTCTTTGTCTTTATACTTATCTATTCATTCATTTGTTCACTCACGTGTTCACTTACTCATTTGAAAACTGATTATTGTATATCTTTGTGATATGCCAGACATTGCACAAGATACAAGGAGATATGAGGGAAAAAGGAAAAGACAAAACATGTTCTGTTCATTCAAAAAGTGAGATAACCATGGATAAGAGATGACAGAGTAGAAAATAGGCAAATGTAATACAATGGGACAATTTCTAGGGGAGAGAAATGTATGCCACGATAAAGTGACAGAATGCTTAATTCTACTTGAAGGAAGTCAGGGAGGCCCTCACAAAAATACTGAGTCTTACTTTTTTTTTTTACAAGAACTAATAGGCAAGTTTCCAGACATATAAGGACATGGAAATTGCGGGGAGTGAAGGGCAAAGAAAACTACGTGGGGCCCAAATTAGTGAAAAAATATTGCAGAAAGGCAAGTTCAGTTTTGTGTGGTTAAAAACACAAGGTGTGGACCAAATGTCCCCATGGATGTTTGGACAGGAACAAATACCAAAGATCTTTTGGCATGAGCCACACGTCTCTGTGACATTTGGGACAGGACCAAATATCCACTAATCATGTACAAATAAAATGTATAATGTATTGCAATGCACTGCCTCAATTTTCTCATTTTCTCAGACAAGGAGCCTGAACTAATGTTTTAAGTAATTATTTGTGACATTTAAAGGAGAAGAATGTTACAGTGGTACATGGCCAGACCACTGTTACTTTCTGAACCTATTACTAAAAAACCTGTCTGAATGCAGTAAATGTGGTCACTCCAATGACAGTATCATCCTTTTTAAGAAAAAAGTTGCAAAAATATGGGTTTACTCAGCATAAAATTTATTCCACTGTTCAACTTGAAATGTCACATATTAGATATCCATTAAATATAATTATATTAAATAATGAAGGGAGGGGAAGTTATAGGCTCAGTGGAGAATAAATTTAATTCTATAAATAAATACTTATTGATCACAGTATAGCATACTATTTTCTTTCCTCAAAAATACAAAGAAAAATTAATAGATTATACTGTTAGATAAGTTCACAAAGATGTAGAGATTAGGACATACACACATTTCTAAAAGTCTTTTGAAAACTTTAAAGCACTAAAATAGTACCCCTGGTTTTTTAAGGCTATAGCCTGAAATATTACATTATTGTGTACAAAAAAGAAGGAAATTATAGTACAAATGGCAACTGTCACTACTTCTCCACTTTCAGGAATTTTCTACCTTTCCATACATATTCAAGCAGTTTTTTTCTAAGTACCAAGTATTTGTAATATAATTTTCTATTTTTTAATATATAGAGGTACTATTGTGCTTTTTGTTTTGTTATGATGTGTTGCACTCTAAGGAAAATCTACTGAGTGAAAGGATAAGGAGAAGAATTGGCATAAACACACTGATCAGAGTCTTAAGAAGAAAAGAAGTTCATTTCATACCTTCAATAGGTTTTGGTACAAAATGTGATGAGGGCTTGGTTTTCTTCACTCTGTTCCCCTTCATAATTTGACCTTCCTTATTGAGTCCCAGAAACCATGCTCGGCCTGATTCTTGCTGACGGTACAGTGTGGAAGAATAAATCACATAGTAGTTTTCAAACACAGATTCCTTAAATTTGCATTCTGGAGTGAAAACATCCTGCAGAAAAAAAAATAGAGATACAAAAGAGAGAAAGAATTTTTAAATGAATCAGCAAATGCTTAAATACAAGGAACCTGAAACATAGGTCCATTGTTAAGAACAAGTGTGAGGGAATTGCACATAATTTCTATTAGCTCTTGGTTACAAAGATTGATCGTGCAAAATCAAGAAACAAGATTTACTTTCTATACAGCCTCTACCCTACAGATCACAACTATATAGGCTAAAGTTACTCATTGGGCTAATATCAAGACTATGCCCAGGTACCAGTATGTTTTGTAAATTTAGGAAACTGGCCATTGTACACTTTAGTGGCCCTTAGTATGTAAAATGTATCCTCAGGAAGCAAGACCAAAATAATAACACACACTTTTTGAAGGGTCTATCCTAGGTGTGCAACCACTTTTGTTCCTCCAAGTTTTACTTGCAAAGTGTATGTCTTTCCTGTATAGTTACTATAATTAAGTTGTCCCTTAATTCTGGTTTATCTTTTTCCTGTTCTTTGCAGACCCGTATTTCCTCTTTACCATGCCAGCTGTAATAATCCCTGGGACGAATGTGAAATGAATGAATGGACACTCATTGCATTGCAGCCCCGGTCTCCTCGCTGTTTCTCAAAAACAACAAGGATAACAAATTTCAAGTCCTTCCCAACCTTTGTTTTTGAAAACCTCCTTGATAACATATTAACACAGCTTGATCTCTCATTTCATTAAGGTCACTGCTCAAGTGTGACTCTCAGAGGTCTCCCCTGACGATCTTACATAATTTAGCAAAGTCCTCCCAGTCACTTTCTAATCCTTTACTTTGCTTTTTTCTTCATAACATTACGTCACATTATATTACGTATGAATCTGCTTAAGCTTCTTGATGGTAAGTGCTGGAAATTGGTTATATTCCCCTCTTATTCTCAACAGTTCTTAGAATTAAAAAAAAAAAACACCCAACTATTTCAACAAAATAACTTGGTGAAAAGATATCATGAGACCTGGATTTTTATTTTTGCATATCTCTAATTTGTGTTGAAATTGGGATCCTCTTAGCTTCCCTCTTCCCCTGCATGTAAAAGAGAAATGTCTGTTGAACTAGGCAATAACAGGTGTCCCTTTTGACTTAAGTCTTTTATACCTTTATCATCCGTATAATTTCTTGAAATTAAGGGGTCAATATAAAAATATTGAGTTTTTTTCAAAATTAGGGCTTACATACCAAAAAATGGTAATAACATATTATTAAGAAAACAAAATGTGCAACATAAACAAGAATATCATCAGAAAAATAAAACTTAGCTATTATGTTAGTAATTATCTCTCTGTGATATGTAAGAGTTATTGACTTTTCAAGCACATCCTTGCTACAAAGGATCCTCTCAGTTTGATTGTTTCCCTTTTCAAGTCAAAATCCAAATCTAAACTCTTTTCAGTGTACAAAAGCACCTTTCTTGTTTACTGTGCAGTCTTGTTTATTTGGGTAGTACATAACAAAAAAAGGAATAAAAATTTATTATTTCTAAACATAATTTATGTTGGACAAGTTCAGAGATAGATATTTCTTTTGATTATATAACCTCTGAATATTTGTCTGTGAAGCTTCTAGTTTGATAATTTCATTAATGGCTTTTAGGCGCACAGAACTTGAAAATCTTTGGTTTGCTTTGTAAAGTGTACTGTCAGACATAATAATATTAAATCAAACAAGAGAACTATTGGTTTCCATCCTGGCAAGAGGCAAAGAAAATGCTCAACTATATTATCTCAAATGAAGCATTTTTTAAAAAGTTGCATTGCTTTTACTAGAACAAGTCTAATTTTATAACTCAAAAAAATACTCTGCAGATATAGAAATCTTTATATACTTTTTAGATAAATTTTTACTGGAAAACAAGCTGATCTGTCTAAAAATAAATGTTCTTCGTTAACATATTCTTTGCAGTATCTTACAAAGCAACGAAGTAACTTTATATCATCATAAAATGATAAAAACTGTGGTATATAGGAAACAATTGTGGAGGCAGATAGACAAACTCAAATCCCTGATTTTAAAACTTGGAAAAATTATTTAATTTCTCTGAAGCTCAGTGTCATCATCTGTGAATGAAGACTGATGGTACCATCACTCTAAGTTTGTGATTATTAAACAAAACAATAAAGGTGTGCTTAACAAAGTATCTGGCATATTACTCTCTTTCTTACTTCTAGTTACATTTTTCAGGTACTATCTGATATGAGAAAAAGTTATCCTGAGTTACTTTACTTGTGGAATCTAAATAATGTATCCTGAGTTTCTCTTCCCTAAAAAAGGCTATTCAAGGCTATCTTGCTTAAGGTTAATTTGATCATCTATGAGGAGAGCACACAAATAAATCTGATCATTTCTCTTTTTTTGGTAGAGGATATTTTTGACACCGCTTTAACAGAGACAATGAAAACAGGGAAATTGTAAAAGACTTCGTTTACTTTGGTTCAGTCATCAATTCAAATGGAGACTGCAGCCAAGAAATCAAGAGAAGGCTGAGCCTCAGAGAGCATCAATGGAAGAATTAGAAAAAATCACCAAGAACAAATCTGTGTCATTTAAGACCAAGGCTAAGATCTTCTGCATCCTTGTATTCCAAATTATTATGTACAGATGTAAAAGCTGGACAGTGAAGAAGGCTGATAGGAATAATAAAAGGATTAATTTGAGATGTGGTGTTGGAAGAGAGCTCCACGGATACCCTGGACTGCCAGAGAGACAATCAGGTGGTTCCTAGAGCAAATTAAGGCTGAAACATTGCTGGAGGCAAACGTGACAAAACTCATTCTGTCTTACTTTCCACATACCATGAGAAGGCAGGGTTCTTTGGAAAAGATAATGTTGGGAAAAACAGAAGACAGCAAGAAAGAAGACCAGCTATGAGATGGATTGACTCCATAAAGGAAGCCTGAGTTTACGGAAGCTGAGAACGGCTGCTGAGAACTGGATATTGTGGAGATCGCTCACCCATATGGTTGCTAGGAGTTGGAGCAAACTCAATGGCACTGACACACACGTTTTTGACATGAACCTGAGATAAGTGATGTAATTTTCAGGTTCTTAACACCTCCTAATAAGGCCCAATATCACACAGCTGTTGGACTTAGCCCCTGGCCAGAAGCCTATGAGTATAGAAGTGGGGTGGGCGTGGGCTGTGGGAGGCCCGAGGGTGAGGGGATATATCATATCACAATTCACTGCTATCATCAAAATGAATTCCAAGAGTCTGAATGTTCTGGGGACAGACAGCAATTACTGGAGGAACTGTGCAGTTCTCTACTAAAATCATCATTGATTCTTATGAAGTAGGCATTGTACACAGTAGGCCCACTATGCCTGAGTTTGAAAATCAAGGCAACTACACTGAATACCCCGTACACATTTATGAAGGAACACGTGAGCCCCTTGTGCCTCAGTCTCTGTCTTTTTTTTCTGTGGATAAGAATGAAAGTAGAGGATGTTTTCAAATTCCCATACTTCAATTTAAACTTTGTAGTACCTTTTAGAAAGTCATTTTGAATACTCTAATGGGTCCCAGAATCATCAACTGAGATTGGAAATGTGTTTTTTTACATGAAAGTTTCCTATTTTTAAAACTCATGTGCCAACATCCTTGAAATCATAATAACTGGTATCACACATAACTTTCTGATATAAACAACATAAAACTGTGCAAACACATGAGGCAATAGTTTCCTGGGACTTGTCAACTGGAATTGCAGGGTTTTGATCTTCAAGAGAAAGAAAACATATAAGGTAAGCACCACATTAACCCTGGCTTTCTGCAAGGGGCTCTTTTTAACCCTGGAATGGAAGGGTGAGGCTGAAGTACAGCACTTTCACTTTCCTTAAGATGAGGAGAAAGAAATTGGGGTTTGGCGCTATAAAGGACCTTGAATATGTGGATAAAGGTTCCAGAGGAAAGGAACCTGGTGGAATGGAGGGAAGACTCAATGGGAATTCCCAAAGATCCTGGGCTTATCCATAGGCTGCACATGTTCAAGACAAGATTCCTCAAAGCCCAGCATAGAACAGCTACTGCAAATGGAGAGCTGATTGAAGATTCCAGAGATTGTTCAGGGCTGCGATATGATGAGCTTCTAGGCAAGCCAAAAAGGAGAGGCCTTAACAAGCACATTGGACATTCATTGAAAAGTCAGAAAACAACCTTAGATTAATGATCACACCTAACTAAGGTCCCTCCACCCCCAAACCCCAGGACAATAGACAGCAGTAAAAGAGTCAAGACCTAACACCTCTGCCGCCAACACACACACACACACACACACACACACACACACACACACAGCCTGATAAGATAAAGAGAATCTACTAGTTATATCTCTAAATGCCAAAAAAAAACAAACCCACACACTCTTTGTCAGAGAATAATATAATACACTCTACAACATATTATACAAATGTCTAACATAAGATAAAGATTACAAATCATGGATATAAGCAAAGCAATGTAAGCAGTCAATACAAAAATCAAAAGATCACTCAGGTTTAGAATTAACAGCTCCTATAAATATGTTATAGGACTGAAAGAAAAAGGACATAATTAGTAATCAAATAGGAAATATCAGCAGCAAGATTGGAAATGATAAAAAAAGAACCAAATGAAAATTTTAGAACTGGAAAGGACAACATTTGAAGGAAAACAATGCTGGATGTATTTACTGACAGTCTAGAGACTGCCAAATGAAGGCACAAATGTATGTGAAGGCAAACTGGTTGAAATTACCCAGGCTAAAATACACAGATCAATAAAGATTTCAAAAAACAAAGAAACAGACTCAACCAATTCACAATATTAAGCACTCTAACAAAAGTGGAAGGAAAAGAAATAAAATAAAAGTGAAAAAAATGAATAAATAATGGTTAAAATTTATCAAATATGGTGAAAATAAAAATTCCTACAGATCCACATTGAATAAGTTCAGCAAACTCCAAGCAGGATAAAAACACCAAAACTCTAC